GGCGGAGATCAAATATGTGGCCCTGATATATCTATTCACATAATAAAGAACTGTAGCCTGTTCTCAAACATGTTAGGCACATTTAAACTGGGCTACCCAGTTTTGCATAACAATTCTTCCTACTGCTGTTGAAGCACTAATCTGTATAAAGCAGTCTGAAACCTGCTGCTGAGGGAAAGCAGGGGTGCTTCTAATAAGGCAAAGACCCAGATCTTCAACCCACACTGCCCAATTCATTGGTCAATGGCTCAGCCCAACCATTGACTTCTTCTCCACATCAATGCATAGAGTCTCTAAGTATTTCTCTTGTAGATCTCATCATCCCTTCTGCAAAACAGAAACAGACCTCTCAGTCTTCCTTCCCCTGGGACGTGGCAAATTGTAAGTACTGGTGGAGCAGGAGTGTGAAGATAATGCTATGAAGCGAGGGAGGCTGCAACTGCAGAAGTACTGAACTATTGCTTCAGGACCCACAGAACACTGCTCCTAATTCTGATTGCTTCACTAATGAGTAAAATTGCCTTAATTGGAGTTTCTAGGAGCCCTTCTAGGAAATGAGAGGTAGCTCAATGCGGTGAAATGAGGATTTCAAAGCATTTGGACTCAGCATCAAGAGGCCTGGTTGCTGGGGTGGTCTCTATTTCTAGTTGAGTGACCAAGGACAAACTGTCTCAGAGGGCCTCAGTTTCCTTGTTTATAAAATGATTAAGTTAATGAATACTATGGTCTTTCTGATTTGTGTTCTCTGTGATTCTGGGCTATATGGCAACCAAGTCAGAGTGTGACAGTCACAGGAAATTAGCAGCCTGAGGGCTGGGCACCCAGTCTCCCCAGGTAGCCTCTCTTGTTTCTCTATTCAGTCTTGATTTTAGAAGTCCAAAGGGACCTGCACTGCCGCCCAAGGTTTGGGGACCCAGATGATCTGCCACTGCCACCTTCCAGCCCATTGCCAGCTGAGTAAAGCACGCCAAGCTTCAGTTTTCAGGTGACCCCCACCCGGCAGGTGCACCCATCCTTCCACCGCCTATATATATATATAAAATAGCACTGTGTGTGAGGTGTGGGGCTGAGAAAACCCTTTCTGTTCAATTACTCTAGGGGCAAGGTGAACATGAAGGTGTTGGGGGACTCTGGAAACCTCAGCTGACCCCAGCTGAAGTTCTTCTGTCTAGTGAGGGCTCAATAAATGCAGATCTTGATGTGCTGCTGTTCAGCTGGGGAGAACCTCTCACACCGCATCCTCTTTCTCTGCCGCTGTTAGCCGAGCTCTTCTACCTATCACAGGAAGTAACAGACGGTTCTTGGCCACACCGTTCTGAAACATGTCAAGGAAAAACTCTGAAACTCAGCACCCATGGCTCCTAGGGGACCCGAGTCTCTTTTCTGGATTGTTCTCAGAGTTTCTTTCTCAGCTAGGTGGGAGCCGAATGACTAGTACAGAAGTCCACAGCCGAGTCAGGAGCAACAGCGCTTGCATTCTGTCACTTAGCAAACCCTTACTGAGCACCTGCTACATGCAAGACACTGGTCCATGACCACCTCCTGCTCACTAGCCATTGCACAGGCAACGAAATCGCTGTGCTGAATGAAGGCTTGGAAGCCAATGAAAATCAGCTTCTTCATAAATGAGCAAACCTGGTGTCACAGTGTCTTGTGGAGACTGAGCATTAAGTCTCAGCCACATTCAGCTGGTAGATCTCCCTCGCCGTGTCCTGGGTCTGAGTATCTCTCAGCTGCTTGAGGTAAAGGGCATTTTTGAGGAACGAGTTTTAAGAAGTAGAACGGCCTCTGAGGGGGTTTGATTGCTGACTGGGGAAGGGAGCTCCACACCAGCTTCAGCCGACCTGCTTGCTGATGGGAAAGGCTTTCTTCTCCTTGGGTTTTTCAATGTAGTAGAAGGAGAGGCCATATATGGGAAAAAAAATAGCACCGTTTTTAGAGAAGCCAGTGAATAGCAGAGCTAACGATCAAACCCAGATGGTCTGATGGTCAAACCCAGATGGTCTGATGCTTAAATGGGTGCTCTGTACCCCTGCCTCTCTCATGCAACCTAGTTAACAAGATTCTACTCTCCCTTTTGCAGTGCTGAAAATTGAGCCTGGATCCTTGTACATGCCAGGCAAGCGCTCCACCACTGAGCTATATCCCCAGTCCTAGCTGGCTGGGTGTGGTGGTGCACATCTGTGATCCCATCACTCAGGAGGTTCATTTTGAGTACATAGTAGGTTCAAGGACAGCCTAAACTACATAGCAAGATCCTATCTTTAAAAATTTAAACACAGATCACTTTATGTGTCTGCTCCCATGTTGGTTCCTTGTAGGAAAAGGGTTATGTCATTAACCCCCTGTAGCCCCAGGAGCTGGCCTATGGTGGGTGCTCAGAGTCTGATGAGAGACGGTTTGAGAGATGAACAGAAAGACCCCTGGATCCCATGGTCCTTCCCCTGGTCTTATTTCTTACCTCCTGGGCCAAAATGTGAACACCCTTTCATGAATGATACCCTTCCCTGTGTCTGAGGCTCTGGTTGTAGCTGAGTTCTATACTCCTAAGAGACAATAGAGGAAGTGAAAGGCTATGTCTGCACCTGGTCAGAAGGCTGTCTTCTTCGAGCAACGCCAAGAAGGCAACAAGTTTCCACAGCTCAGAGGCAAGGTCCCTGTGACCTCAGCAGCTTGGTGTGAGGAGAGACCTAGACTCAAGCTGCAGGCTTCTGTGGGACCCGGTAGGCCGTGGGGCCCCAGCCCCTCCCGCCTATCCTGGAGCTTGTTGCCGCCGCCGTTACCAGGAACCAACCGTGCCAGGAAGTCATCACTATGATTTCAGAACTGCATTGTGAATTATGCAAAGCGCCCGGATAATTACAGCCGGGCGCTCAGAACTCAGGACGCTTAGGCTGCGGCTGTGTGTGCGCGCCGGTGCCTTTTGCCAGGGCTGGGTTGCTCTGTGTGCATGTGCGTGCGCGTGTGTGCGTGTGTTTTCACTGGGCTTCTTCACTCCCTGCTTGGTTACAGGCTGCTGACAGGAGAGAGAACATTCCAATTTTGATTCTGTGACGGTTTCATGAGTCTGGGGAGTATTTTTCGGTTTTGGTGCCTACAGTGGCGGTTGCGGAGATGGAGAAAGGGGTATTTTGCAACCCGGGAGAGCCTCGAGCCTCCTGCCCCATGCCCCGGTGCCTGCAAAGCAGACCCCAGCCCTCCTGGACACACACCCCTAAACTCTTCCCTGGAGCCCAGCCCCGGTCTAGTGCCCCACCACTGCCTTCCTCTTCGGCCGAGACAAATTAGTTGGACTCTTGGAAGTTCTTTGTTCTTAACCAAGCGCCCCCTTCCGCCTTCGCGTCACAAACGGCGGCGGCGGCGGCGTGGATGGCAGAAGCCAGGGGATTTCTGGCGGGAGCCAGAGGCCGAGGATCCAAACCGGAGACTGGCATTTTCATTTGTTGTCCAAAGCCTGACTGGAAATCCCTTCCCTCTCTGGGAGCAGAGTTCGAACGTGTGCTAGGAAGCAGGCAGAGCTCGGTTCTGCCCAACTTGACTGTCAAAAAATTAAGAATTAAAAAAAGGTTGGCTTCTCGCCTTGCCTCCTAAAAAGGCCCTCGGGTTTACGGCCTTCGCCCACAGCGCCATAACGTGGTCGCAAGGCCCAGCACCGAGGAGGCGGGGACCTTGGGAAGCGGTAACCGCGCTCTGGGCGCCCCAGGGGCCCCGCCCGGCCGCGAGCGCGCGGCTCTGGTGCGCGTGGCGCGC